GACTCAGCAATTCCACTCCTAATATATGTAATAGATATATATTATTATACATATCTACCCAAGAGAATTGAAAACATGTCCACACAAAAACTTGTGCATGTATGTTCACAGAAGCATTATATATAATAGCCAAAATTGAAAAAACACAAATATCTGTCAACCAATAGATGGACAAATACAGGTGGTATATCCATACAATGGAATATTATTCAGTCATAAAAAGGAACAATGTATTGAGTCATACCACAACATGGAAGAAAAAGCCAGACACAAAAGGCTACACCTTGTATGATTCTTTTTGTTTGAAAAGCCCAGAATAGGCAAATCCATAGAGACAAGAAGTAGATGGCAATGTAGAGTGACTGCTTAATGGCTATAGGATTTCTTTTTGGGGTGATGAAAATGTTCTAGAATTAGATAGTAGTAATGGTTGCACATCCTTGTGAATATATCAAAAACCACTGAAGGATGTATTTATGATATGAGAATTGTATCTCAGTTAAAAATATAATGGATTGATGGATAGGATAGAGGTATGGTTAGAATAAACAGCAAAATGTTAATTGTAGAATTTAAGTGGTTACTCTATGGGTATTTGTTGTATGAGTCTTTCAGCTTTTCCGTATATTTGCAACTTTTACGATAAAATAATAGAAAAAAAATGACCAATTTACACAACTTTTAAGTTTATTGGTTGGTTTATTCTACCAACATATATCAAAGACCCTTTTAAAAAATAAAAAACAAAATATAAATAGATGATAGGTGATAAATAGATGCTATAAACCTTTGATGCAACATGTTATATGGTGACATGTTACCTCTGATTCACCTCACAGAATCTCCTTAACAAATTTAGATTTAGGCTTTTGGAAATAAACACCTTTTTTTTTTTTTTTGGCTTTGTCACATCCCTCCCTGAGGAAATGAGCCTGGCTGGGTATTTGTTCTATAGGGAAGACTAGAAAGAAAAAAAACAAAACAAAATAAAAACATAGGTTGGTAAAAGTGTACAAACTTTCAACTATACGATAAATAAAGTCTGAGGATCTAATATAAAACAAGACTATAGTTGATAACATTGTATTATGTACTGGAAATTTACTTAGAGAGTAGAATTTAAATGTTCTCTCTCTCTCTCTCTCACACACACACACACACACACACAAAATAAATTTGTGAGGTGAGAGATAATTAACTAGGAGAGGAATTCTTTCACAATGCATACATATATCAAATCACCATGATGTGCACTTTAAATATCATACAGTTTTGTCAATTAAACCTCAATAAAGCTGAAATTTAAAGAAAAGTTTTTGAAAAGGACATATAATAATATATATAAAACAGCAGTTCTTAAAATGTGGTCCACAGTCCACAAAGGGTCCTGGACATTCTTGAAGGGGATCTGCAAGGTCAAAGTTCTTTTCATAATAATAGTAAGATGTTATTTGCTCTTTTCATTTTCATTTTCTCTTGAAAGAACAGTACAGTTTTCCAGAAGCTCAGTAGATGATGTTGTAACAAACTGATTGCAGAAGATGAGATAAGAATCCAGCAGTCTTCTATTAAGCCAGACAGGAAAGGATTTGCAGAAATAGAAAACAATGCCATCCTTCTTACTAATTGTTTTTTTTTTGAAAATAGACTTATTTTTCACAATAGTGATATTTACATTGGTATTAAGTGTGTTTATTATAGTCATTTTTAAATAAACAAATCCTTCTAATTTCTCAGTTTTAATATCTAGTACTTTTAAATATCACAGATATAACCCACAAAAAATTACTTGGGATGCCAATAATTTTTAATTGTGTAAAAGGGTCCCAAGACCAAAAACTATGAGAACCACTGCCAAAGTTTTATTCTGCCAAACATCTAATAATGCAGAAAACTCTGCTGCCACTGAAGTGGAGCATGAAAACATATTTATTGAATGAAAAGGTATCCTCTTTATTGTTAGCTGAGTATGCTGTAATCCCATATTTAATTAAAATAAATGTGTGTATGTATAACCATGGGAAAAATGTATAGAAGGATGCATGTCAATTAATGCTAATTATTTCTAGACTGTACGATAATAATATTTATTTTCTTTATTCCTTTTCTTTATATATTAATTTGAAACATTTTTTCAACATTCTTTCACTTTTTTATTTTTCAATTAATTAATTATTTTAGGGCAGGGAGGTATTTAGGTTTGTTCATTTATTTTAATGGAGGTACTGGGGATTGAACCCAGGATCTCGTGCATGCTAAGTGCACACTCTACCACTGAGCTCTGCGTTCCCCCTAAAACATTTTTATTGCAGTAAAAAACACATAAGATAAAATTCACCATCTCAACCTCTTCAAGTATACAACCCAGTATTGCTAAGTGTGTTCACATTGCTGCAAACCAGATCTCCAGATCTTTCACATCTTGCAAACTTGAAACTCTATGCTCGTTAAACAACTCCCCACGCCCCTAACCCCCAGTCACTGGCAGCTGCCATTCTACTTCCTGTCTCTATGAAGCTGACTAGTCTAGGAAACTCATGTAAGTGAAGTCTTTTTTTTTTTTTTGGTGATTGGCTTATTTACTTAGCATAATATCCCCAAGGCTCATCTCTGTTGTAGCATATGACAGGATTTCCTTCTTTTTTAAGACAATGATATTTCGTTGTATGTATATACCACATTTGTTTACATTTATTCACTAAAAAGACATTTGAACTTCTTCTACATATACCAGTTTTTTTTTAAAGAACTTGAAATCATTTTAGAAACAGAAATAAAGTTATTTCCATTTTGGAAAAAGAGAACACCTACTCCCTCACGAAGCACAGGTAACAAAAAGAAGGAAAGGGAAATACAAAGGTCTGTAACTTGGTTGACCAGCCTGTTGTGCAGGATTCCTGGGAAATTAATCAATGATGAAGGAAAAGATTGGCCATAATCCTGTCGATGAAAAATTAATAGTCAATCTAAGAAAGAAGTGGAAAATTTTGTTTGAGCCAGATTTGAGGATTATAACCTGGGAAGAACATCTTAGAAAGCTCTTAGAAGTCAAGGCACAGCCGAATAAGTTTTTTGAGACAGAGGGCTGTACATTAAATGACATTATCATTGACAGTTTACAAAATCCAGATCTAAGCTCATCGTGACCCCATACAGGATCAAGAAGGAATGTTATCTTTCAAGGAGTTGTCTTGTTGATGCCAGGAGACTGTTGCTCTTCATGGCTGAGCAGGTATTTCTGCTGATGGGGAGGTTTGCTCGAGGCATCATGCAGATACACAATGCACAGTAGCAGGGAGAAAGGAGGCCAAAGGACAGAGAAAACTTTATATGCTTAAATTTTTCTTGTTTTGCCATAAAATAAGAATTTTATTTTACAATCCCAATATCCATGAAGAAGAAATAAGGGTTTGGCTGCTTCTCTGCACACAAAATATAGAAATCTACCTAGAAGCTGTAATTTACCCTAATTTGACCCTTTCACTCTGGACATTGGAGTCTTCCCTACCAGCTCTCTCACCATACACTCTCCTCTCCAGTTTAATACAAGAAGACTCATCTAGACAGTCTCTGACTTCCTCACAGGCTGTATGAATATGATCAGGGAGTCTGAACATTTACCATGCTGTAAGGAGAATTCTGTCCCCAGAGAGCTAAAACCATTGTAAAATCGCTCATTGCATCTTGCTTTATAGACAACCTGATGGTATATTTCTAGTATTCTTTTTTTAAGTGTCCATAAAACATTTTAAAAACTTTTTATTATGGACAATTTCAAATATACACAAAAGTAAATAAATAGCATGAAGTACCTCTGTTACATTTATCTGTTGCTGTGTAACAGATTATCCCAAACTTTGTGATATAAATCAAGAACCGTTTTATTATGTTCATGGATTCTGAAAGTCAGGAATTTGGAGAGTGCATAGCGGAGATCCTCCAATATATACGTGTTCAGCAACACGATCATCTCTGGAGCAACTGCCACACCTGCAACTTTACCTTTGTGTGACTTTTACTTATTTTTTTAAATTATCGGTTACTGCAAGTATTGAATATAGTTCCCTATGATATACAGAAGGAATTTGAGGTTTGCAAATACTAAGAACTATATGTAAAATAGATAAAAAACAAAACAAAAGGGCTCTAGCTGGGATGTGTATAAGCTGGAACTTGCCGTAAAAATATAAGTTGTCTAATTATAAAGTGTCTCTGAAATGACAAGCTCTATTAATATTACCGTGTATTCCTCTCTCCTATGTGCCTGCATATTCTTATCTTATGTTCTTCACTCTTACCTGGTGTAGGGGATCAAACTAACTTGGATCCAGGAGCCAGGAACTCATTTGATCTCAACCAACAGATCATCGACCATCATTTATGCAAGTCGTTTTTCTTCACTTCCTCATTTATGTTTTCCCAGTTCCCATATTAGTAACTTGTATGTGGACCACACTGGCCCACATCTCAGAATGTCACGAGGATTCACTGTTTAGAAAACTTGCAAAGATCAAATTTTTAAATCACCCAAGTATTCCAGAGAAAGTGGTGTGACTTCTGCCCCATGACAACAGGAGCATGAGTAGGGTGGGGTGGAATATAGGAGCAATGTCATGACAAAGGAAGAAAAAGAACCCAGGCATCTGTTCTCCCACCTCCATATCTGCTGCCATATGATCTCCTGGGAGCTTGGTGTTTATATGTGAATTTTTTTCTTATGTACAATTGTAGGTTATAAACCTGATTCAGGTTACAAAATAGTAACTGATACATACACATAAAATCTCCAAACTGTAACCTTCCCTGATTAAATATACATTCAACTTTTTAATTGCTCAAGAATAGACAGATCTACGCAAATTAGATGTAAATTTCAAAACAATCCATTTTTATTTATTGCTTTAGTGGTGGTGCAATCTAAGCAGAAAATTCTAGGTGTTTTGGTGTCGTTTGCTTACTCAACATTCCTTGGATGCCTACTAAGTGCCAAGCATAGAGCCATGAGCTTCGGTGAGTGCAGCAAACAAGGCAAACCCCATCTCTGCTTCCACAGAGTTTATAACCGAGCAGATGAGGCCAACATGGAGCAATACAATACTAACAATGTGGTAAGTTCTAGCAAGTTCAGGATGCTGTAAGAGTGTGTGTCATGGGGGAATTCAGCTGCCTGGAGATTCAGGCAAAGCTTCTTTGAGGAAGTTACATTTCAGCTGAGACAGGCTGCCCATCTGCTCTGGGTTGTGCAACTGCCTTCCCATCCTGATTCTAACACTTGAACAAGTCAGTGTCTCAGAGTTTGGGTTCTCACATGTAAAGTGAGGATAATACCCACATATCAGTGTTGTGGGAATGAGAGCCAATACAGGCAAAGCATCCCTTGTGGCATCAGGCATGTAGTGAGCCCTAAGTGCATGGTGCTTGTTATAATTACATGTCAATGTAGGCATCAAAGGAAAACTGAAGAGAAGTTTGGCCAAAAGCTAAAGATAAATGTACAGAGGGGAAATTTGGCAAAGGCTCCAAATTCAAGGGACGGTTATTACCCCTCACTTGTATAAAGGCTTCACGTCCTGAGCTTCAGATGTTGGAGGATCTAATACCTTAAGGCTATGCTAAATATTGTTTTCATGAGAAACTGATAAGAAATTTTGGAGTTGACCTCTTTCTAGCTGTGGGTTAGCTATTGCCCAGGTCAGTTTTGTGGGGGTTTTTTTGTTTTGTTTTGTTTTTCAGGCCAAAGTAAGATGTCTGGGAAACAGCTCTCTGGCCAGAGAACACATGGTTAATCAACTTTTGGTAGGCTCAAGTGACAGGCAAGTGTTGAGAAACCAGATGAGGAGGGGAAGCAATGAATGCTCACTGGAGGTTTTAGTTGAGGGTCAGAGACCTGGCGCCACCGGCGGGGACCTGGAAGAGGGAACTGCTGGTGTCCTCACCAGCGCTCACTGGACAGTAAGCTTCAGGAAGCCGGATCCAGGATGCCCGGCGCTCCTCCCGGGCCTCCCTCCCCGGGCCTCCCTTCCCAGGCCTCCTGGGCGCTTGGATCCTGGCCATGTCTGCACCCTTCAAATGGGTGTGGGTGATTTCATAAGTGGACGCGACCGCCACCGAGGGGAAAGCGTGCAAGGAAGTGGCGGGAGGCGGGGCGGGGAGGAGAGGGAGCAGTGGGAGGGATGCCGGGCAAGAGTGGGAGGGATACAGGCCGCTGTGGGAGGGGTGAGGAGGAGTGAGAGGGTGGAGGAAAGGAGAAAAGGACGCCGTGGCTGGCCGGGAGGAAATGCGCGAGGTCTCGACTGTCGCTGCGCGGCCGCTCGCGAGTGGGGCAGCCGGGTGCGCCCGAGATGCTGCTGCGCG